TGCGTACGGGGTCGCCACTTTTGTCTGTGGGGACACAGGAGGTGCGACAGACATGAAGGGCCGACCTGCAGGTTCCATTCGGACCTATTGGGAAGGGATTTTTAGTGATAGTGGAGAGAGAGAAAAAGAAAAGGATAGAGAGGGAGGGAAGGAGACAAAGAGATTATAAAGTCAAGGTCTAAATGTGCCTGTCATTAAAAATTAAGTGGCAGATTACAGCATGCAGGAAGTATTAGCAAAATAATGCCGAAAGAGACAATTCCACACACTGACAAGCCTGGACCATGCAGCCTGACCGGGCAAGGCAGGGAGGGGAGTTGGCAACAATCAGTGGGGTCAGGTTTGCTCTGAGCTAGGCTGGATGTCAGGGAGAAAACACACCAGCCTTGTCCCTGCTGTGGGGCAGGCAGCTGCACCCAGTGGGAATCTCAGGTCCTCCTCTAGGCAGGTGTAACAACCCAAGCAGAGCACTCCCCAGAGCGCCACGGGCCATGAGAGAGGACACCAAGCAGAGCAAGAGACTCTGCAGGCATCCCACTCCGTAAAGTGAGAGTTAAAGCGTACATGGCCTCGCAGGGCATCTGTCAAACCTTTTCATTGGTTAGCTCAGGCCTTACACTGTTTGGGGTTACCAAATGCAGAAATCCTGAACTGCTCTAAAGCACGTGAGGAGCAAGCTCTACACAGGAATACTACTGAGATCCTTCCGCTTTGCATGCTCTGATATCCAAGACTGGCAAAGAAAAAATGAGGCAAAAGAGGAGCACTGAGGTTTCCTAGGAAAATTTCCCCAGAAGTAAACGTTTAGAGATCCACAAAAGAAAGTTAGCTTGGGGGAGAAAAGCTATACATGCAACTATTACAGTAAGCAGAAAAAGAAAGGAAAGAGAGGGAAAAGCTGACTAAGGGAAGGAGCCATGGGAAAGCAGCACGCAAAGTTTTAGTCTACTCATTGGGTTTTGCTGAAGTTAAAATGTTTCTCTAAAATTGTAAGCCTACATTCCTGTTAAAAATGAAAAAGATAATAGCATTACTCAAATTCATAAACATCCTCCTAATTCAAGGCAGTTTGGCTACAAGCCAAGCTGTGAATTTCAGAGTGCACAGCATAGAAACACGTGTTAGAAATGCAACACCAAGACGCAGCTGACCCCGCCGCGTACCTACACTGCATTAGTAGGCACTTTGCCACAAGTTAGCCCAATTATGCTCATTTGCGCTGTATGAGCGGGTTTGCCCATTGCTTCCCTCTAAACACAAGTGCTCAGCCTCTGTGTGCGCAGAACAGCGAGTCAGAAACAGTGATTTACACCACACACGACATGTGCCTCTACCTGTCACATTAGGTCTGAAAGGCAAGAGTGTAACAGTTCTGGGGCTAAATCAAGGTGTTCACAGAACAAACCAGGAGAGAAACCTTTGATCTCTTGCAAGTGTTAGTCTGTAAATTACCATTCTCCCAATCACTCATGTTAACGGATTTTCAAGTAGCACCACCTGACCTTAATTATGCCCCGTATAAGGCACCACGGGTGTGCTGACTTTAGCTGTGCTGAGCTTCACTTTTGACACCTGAGACAGCAAAAGGCAACACGAAAAATAAAGCAGCATAAAACAGAGACACAACAGAACAGCTATCCCTGAGTGACAGGACCTTGCAGAATCCTAAATCTATCACTTAAAGCACTAAGCACACATTTTGATGCCTGTTGCAGCATCCTATTTGAAATAAAGTGTTCAAAATCAAACAAGTAGACTGAGGCACACTGCCCAACTATGAAGGATGTGATCAGATGAACAAAGTATTCTTTGGGCAAACAACAATCTTTCAAAATATGAAGGGGACAAATTACCTGCATTTTGGGAAACGTGGGGTTTTTAATCTTAGATATATTTGAAACAGAGAGGAATTTTCCTCATATCCATTGAAGACAGTAATTTTCTCAGTAAGCAAGTTAAACACTCAGGACAGGGAAAAGAATACTGTACAACTCAGGAACAAGTCCCTCCCCACTCCACAGAATCAAATTAAATTTCCACAACCAGGAACATATTCACAGTTGTACTTTGTTTATAGAAGAATCTTGAAACAGACCATTATCCTTGGTTGTCCTCATAACTACGTGATGTCCTTCTGTGTATCTTGAAAAATTACTTATTGCATACCATCAATTCATATGTGTAACATGCATCTTCATAACTATCTGGAACTCTCGGAAATGCTAAAAAAAGAACAGTATCTACTTTTTAAAACAATAGCTGTGCTTTCTTTTTCAGCTGTTTCTCCTAAAAGAACGAGCTTTTGCCAATGAACTAACTGCTTGCCTTCTCTTTTCCTATGCCAATTGCTCTTGGATTGGTTACCAAATTTCAGTCAAAAATGACAGACTGTTAGAAATCTCAACAGATTTTTAACTTAAAGAAATTGTTGTGAAGTTACTGGCACCAGGTAAATGAAAGAAAAGTGGGCAGAACTCACCCATTTTAAGACTTGCTGACCAGTTAGCCACTGGCCAATCAGTACAACATCCCAGCCACTTGCAGCAACCTGCCTGTATGAACTTCTTCAGCCAGCTTTGTCACCAAAGCACTGTGCAATAGCTACCTCTGAAATAACTGTTCGGAGACTAATACGCCTAAACAGCATGTCTCGGTTTCACTGCAACTACCTTTTCACAGAAACTATACTTTTTCCAACACCGTTGGCTCCATTTCTTGCCACAGATTTTAACATTTTCCACTGTCAGTCTGATTTATTAGTTATTTAAGCTTCTTGAGCCACACCTGTCCAGGATAAAAAAGCATGTACTGTAGTTTCACTGGGGGTATATTTATCACCAATTTACTCAGAATATTATAACATGGCTTCAAATAATAATTTTACATGGCTCATTTAATTTGGATCTTTTGAGTTTTAGGACAATCCATTGACTCGTGTTATGCATGAGGAAGACAAACATACCTTTTCATGGATTTGTGAAAGGATTTGATGAAATCTTGAAACATGGATGGCCCTCAACAGGGAGCAGTGAATACTTTATTTTTAAAATGGTTTTAATGGGGCAACATAAAAATTCTTGGATGTTATTTAAATGAAGAACTGCCAGCAACACTATGGACATGGTAAGAACAACAGTGATTCCACTGCCATAAACTTTAGACTTTTCTCTACAAGCTCACAGAGAGTGTCACAGCAAGATTTGCACATTAAAACCAAAACCTTAGGAAACTATAACACCACAGTTCTCATAGCAGTACTCTTCGATGTCTGTCACACACAGGCTAGACAGACTCAAGTGCCCTTTTGCATCTATCCTGCTCCTGCAGAAGTGATGTACCCTGTACACATACACAAGCCACCTGCTGAGGAACATGCACCAGGTGTTGCACTCATGCAGTAGAAACATGTGGATCACAATCTAGCAAGCTACAATCCTGGGCTGAGCACCACATTACTACCGGAATCAGACGATTTCCAAGCTAGCAGGCACTACAGGGAACTTATGAATCCTGAAGAATGCAGCCACGTCACTTTTCACATTGTGCCACACGTGCTTTCTTATTTGAAAATGTGATGTCATGTCCTATTTTTAGTTATTTATCTGATGCATCAATGCCAGGTGTAGAGACCCGTGGTTTCAGTTTTTAAAAGCTTGCTTCTCTAGCTTGAACCTGGGGTCTGGGGAAGGTTCAAAATTGACAGAAGTAGAGGTAGCTTCTCAGAATATCCTGTCAATGTACTTCCACACCTAACTGCTGTTAATACTGCGGTCATGCTTGTTCAGGAACCTGGAAATTTCTTTGAGCCTGACAACAAACCAGCTTAAGTGGCAATTCTGCTGTGTTTGGAAGTGCTCCCAGGAACCACAGCAGTCAACTACCACAGAATGGACAGAAAACTAACCAAGTCACAACAGACCTGAGCCCCAGGCTTCAATGGGTTAAAATCTTTTCTAACTCTCCACAACCAACAGGAGATACCAAATCTACCTCAATCCACAACTGCTGTCAATCTTTGTACTTTTGCTCTGACCATACCACCATCATGGCTAGGCTTCATGGACAAAGATATGGGACCATATATATGGTTACTGTTTCCATTTCCAATGAATATAACAGAAAACATTTGAGTAAAAACTACTGAAATACTTCTTAAATAGATATGCCTGCCTTCAGGTCTCAGTTATTCACATCTTTACAACAGAAAGATGTGGCTAGTTAACTAGAGCAAGATCTTGGTGAAAGAATTTCATTCAACTTGTTAACAGCTGATCTTTTTATTTTGTCTTTATTCAACATTAGTTAATAGGATTCTATAGGAAGGGCTATATGATGCCTTCAAAGAACAGGGTGTCTGTGCATACAAATAAAAGCAAGAACAGAAGGTGCCAGGGCTGAATTCCCTGAAGAAATGATTCCTGAAAAAACAATTATATGGCAGTGTACGTCAATAACACCAAGTAAAAAAGAGAAGAAATCCCACTCAAGACAGAGAAGGAAGAAGTATCACTCTGTCTTGTACATTTTGTTGGACGCTGATTCTCAAACTAAAGTCTTCTTGTTACCTTGCTGGATTCCTCCAGTTGCGTGCCTCGTTTCCAGGCCTCGGAGAACATGGAGCTGACAATACTTTGGGAACGGACATGTCCTGCTGGCTGGGTGTCAGAAACTCCACTGTCAGACTGATTAGAATGATTTGATTGCGATTCTGTTTAGAAAAAAAGTTAAGAAACAGCATACGTTTCTGAACATAAAAATAACGTTGATGTGCTTATAATGCAACCCTGTGTGACATCTATCAGCCACGCACATTGAATATTATCCCACCAAATGACACTGTTCCCACTAATTACTGCGTAAGCTGTAGCTCACATCCAGGCCATTCCTGTCTGGAAAATGAAACAGTGCAACAGATCCCTGGTATTAACCAAATCTGAAGCTCCTGAAAGACGACAGTGTGTCAGATACACTGCAGCTGTACAAGTTCCTGCTGTTGGCAAAAAGCCCTATGTCCTGCAGTGCATGCACCCTGCTCTCTCCAGCACTGCTTTCCAGTGCAACCTTAGGTACAGACACCAGATATAGGCTAAGGACAGGCAAACTACACTAGCTGAGACACCAGTCTGTTTCCCATTGCTCCATTCCTCAAGGGAAGAGGAGGAATTGATGTACATCCTGCAAGTAGCAAACACAGATGACACTCTAGGTCCACGAGGATATCTTGAAGAGATAGCAACAGCCACTGCCAGAGCGATGCAACCAGCCTGACACCCACTAGCTGTGCAGTCCCAAGCTGTCCTGGCTAATTTTAGCATCTTGGCACAGTCTGGACCGCAGCTCAGGCAGAACATGCATGGCTTGTGAGCTGTGGCTCAGCTTCTTTATCAGAAGAACACCCAGTTTGGATGGAGAAATTGTCAGAAACTGAGAATTTACTGCTACACCTAGCAAGCTGTGCCACACTGTTGAAAAACCGTGATGCCTTCCCAGTTAGGCTGAATTTGCTTAGCCCATTCTCACAGCCTACTTTCTGAACTGTTCCAATTCAGTAGAATTACTTCCTGACCTGCATCTGCAAAAGACAAAACACTTTCACAAAATAGCCTGTTTTCAATAATTAAACTTGATCCGAGGGTTCAGAATAACCCAACAAAGTATCAGGCAGCTCTGAACAGTGAGTTGCACACACATGCCCCATTCATCATTAAAACATGTGTTTGATTTCTTTTTCAAATAAGATAGAGGCATCAAGAATTTGAAAAGAAGTTTCCTCTTCTCAGTACCAGAGTGAACAAGAAATACTATGTTTCAAATACATACACTACCGCACGTAATGTAATAAAATAGGTGTTTATATGTTTTCATACACACACGTGAAACAAACTCTCTGTTTAAGACTAAACACAGCATAACTGACTTTGGAGAAACAGTCCATTTCCTGCAATACCTGCTCCTGAGGTCTCCAGATAGTAGACAATAAAAAAGGTAATTAGATTTTTCTATTAGGAGACAGACCACATTATTACCTGGCAAACTAGATGAGCTGGAGCCTGACTTGATACTGGAGCTAGACAAGGAAGTCCAATCATACGCCGACTCTGTCCTCTTCAACGCTTCCTGATAGTTCATGTAGAGTTGCTTCCCATACTACGCAAAATGACAAACAAATTTAGTAACTGTATAGAGGCTGTGTACCCTTTTCAGACTGTTGAGCTCTCTGGTTTCCCTACTGAGCCTTTTTTTCCTCCCAGAGAGAAACAACAGCCTCTTTATTGAGGAGCTCAGACAATGTTAATTTTTTTACTAGCAAATTGCTGAAAGAAAGATAGAAAAACAGTTTATGTTAGACAAGACAGCGTCAAGCAAGAAATGGGCCAATGAATAAACTAAGACAACCTGGGGATCTTAGAAAAAAATCCTGTTTTCTCAACATAAGCCTTCTTTTCAAAATCTGTAAAGGATCTGGCTAAAATGTAGCCATGATGTCAGTTACAATTTTTTCACGTGACAAAGGTACAGCAGAAACAAGAAGAAAGGGCCCAATTACGGAATTCTCATAACAACAAAACCTAACAATTTTGGTAAGGAATGAAATATGCAAGAAGACTGAACACTTCACATTCAGAATAGTTAAACATAGGGAAGTTAGATTTGGCATGTGTTTTGCTAAGTAACTGTAAATGATTTCAATGAGATAACAACTCATGACAACAGTGCAGGAGTGCCTAGAGGAGGTTACCTTGGCAATGCGGATGCCATTGATCCATTGGTGTAGAGTTCTTACATCATCACAGCAAAGATACTTGATATACTGGGATTTCTTCTGGATCTGAGGATGCTGAAGAAAAAATGTTAATCCTCATCAGTATTTTAATAGCTAGGAATGCAAGGAAAGTCATTCAACTGCCTATACAGACAAACTTAATGCTGGAAGCTCTTCAACAGCAGTCTGTATTTGCACGCACTTTAAAATGTTTGTGAGGATCGTTTCACACATATTGGCAGCGTGCCCAGCATGCACTGATTTAAGGTTTGAAATACTAAGAAAGGGTGAGTCTTTCAGTATTTTAGGGCTGTAACTTCTTACCTACCAACAGTCTTCTGTACCTGTAAGGCTCTTTAGAAATCTTTAGTCTCAAGCCAAGAGCTCAGAACAGCGTCAGCTTGTAAAAACCTTTCCTAAACACAAGCAAGAGACTGCCAAAGTGCCAAGAGTTGTCTCCTTCCGCTGCTCTGCGGATTCACTCACAACCTGAGGGAAACAACTGGTATTTCACCTTCCTCTCACATCAAAACAAACTGGAAGAAAACAAACACGCTGCTCTCTGCTTTTGTATGGCTTGAGAGACACTGCACAAATGACATGCTGTTTAGCACAATTCCATTTTCAGCTTCTAGAGCCTTCAAGGTCCCCACTCTACTGATCTAAAATACTTGCTGCTCCCACATGCAAGTATAAAAACAAAAAGGTGCTGTATTTATCAATTCAGCAGTCAAGAAAGAAATGTATATCGTTTTCAAAAATCAGACACTGGAAATCATTCTGGATGGATTACTCAATTGCTTCCTGCCCGTTCTGTGGAAGTTACATGTGTCTCAGCTGTCAGGGCAAGTCTAAATACTCAGGGTCTTATAATTTCCTCTGTTAGCTTACAGTTCAGTGACACAGAGCTTTGCTAGATGACCGTAGGCATTTAAGTTTTATTGAAGACTGTCTGAAACATGTATGAAAGAACTTTTAATCTCTTTTCAGAATACTTTCTCCTGCTGTCTTCCAAGCACTATTATTTCAAAATGAACATGAACATGGTTATCTCCATAAACAGAAAATATACAGCCAACTTCATTATGATCCTATGTTCTATTTTTCACTACCAGCCCCTTTGACATACATGTATAACAAACAAGAGTCTATAGAAGCACAATTACTTCACTAACAAGCCATCTTTTTCTTGGACTTGCTAAAAAATTTGGCTATAGAGAAATAAAACGACCTCTTGGAAATCTAACATTAAGGAACAAAGAGCTAGTAGTATAAATACAAATGTTGTATTTAACAATAGCACAGCACCTGTCTTGCACAGCAAAGTTCAAGACAGACGAAAGAAGCAAACACATAGACAAATCCATTCTGGACTTCAGTGATAACTGGCCTTTCACTTTGTATTTGCCATTCGCCTCTCCAAAAACATGCTTGCACTTTGGAGCTACTTCCCAGTTTAATGAATCTTTGTGATACAAAACTGAGCTTCTATTAAAAACAAAAAAAATCCTGTATGGCTTCTATATGTTGGTACTAATATAAAACACAGATGTAACATTTTAAGAATTAAGGAAGGCAAACCTCAGTCCTGCTAAATATAGTAATTTGGTGATACATCAGTTTCACACTGAAAACATAGCTCCCCTTTGTCCAAGTTACCCAATTAAATCTACCCCATTAATTAACTTAAATAAAGGGACAATTTAGACACATCAAAATGCCTTCAACATTTTCATGCTTCCATTTATGCTCAGAATGGCCATACTTTTAAAAAAAAAATCTACTCAGCTAAGACAGTCTGGTTTACTCTGTGTGCTCAACAAGCCTGAAAAAAAAATTCACTACTGACCTGTTCAAATGATGTGGACAGAAAATGACATGTAAGCAGAAAAACTCAATTTACTTCAAGGAATTTATAAATACGTGCAAACATGGACATTTTAGCTTTCAATTGCATTCAATTAATTGTGCCAATGACCTACAAGAACATGGAAAATATTTCCAGTTTCAGCTGTATGCTTCCTCCCGTAACATCACGTCCCATATCTAATATTCAGCGTCTAGCTCTCAGTGGGCTCAGATGCATATTGCCCTGTCTACGGGAAGATTAAATCCTTTTTTCACACAGTGGACAGGCCACCACACACTCCAGGCACATAAAACACTCTAATGCACTGACACAGGCATATGCAACCCCACAAGAGCTGGAGATCAGGGAAGGTTAGGGGCCAGTAAGTGTAACAGTAACTTTTCAGTGATACAGGAGTACGTAGGGAGTTCAATCATCATCATAGAATCATCATAGAATGGCCTAGGCTGGAAGGGACCTTAGAGATCATTTAATCCAACCTCCCTGTCATGGGCAGGGATGCCTCTCAGCTATATCAGGCAACACCTGGGGACCGAACCGGGATCGAACCCACGACCTTGGTAACCATCTCATTACTTGCACCATTCTCAAATCCATGAAGACAGTTTACTTGCTGTGAACATACTGTGAAAACATGTTTTAAAAATAGCTTTGTAGCTAGCTATCTTGCAGGAACTGATACCATTTTGAACACTGTGTGGGAGACATGAGGAACTGGGAGATGAGCTGATGCAATTTAAAATAACTTGACATACTCGAGCTATTAATCTCAGTTTAAGAACAGGTCACTGCTTTCATAACATTTTTTTTTCTACTTGTTCTTCCTATTTGACCTTTATACTCAGAATTTTCTTCCTTTACAGCATCCCCTTTCCCTCAGGTTGGGCAGTATGGTCAGAGTTGACTTTCTAATACTAATTTCTGCACAACTCTGGACCTATGTTCTGAGAAGGCAGCCACTTCCTGAAGCTAGGGTTTCGGCGGTTATTATCTCACTGAACCTGAATTGCTGTAAGGTGTAGAGCTGCCAAACTGGGGGGGGCAGGAAAGTCATGAGAAGCATGGAGAACAGGCATCAATCATACCATAACTCTTCACGTCCTATACAAGAACTAGAGGAAAATGAAATGGAAAGCAACTGATGGTCAGAACAAGTAAAAAAGTGTACAAGGTGTACCCAACTGCTGCAGCATTGTAAAACTTTATTGGAAACCAGGAAACGACAGGGCATACTTGAAGAATAAGAGTGCACTTAGGGTTATTAAACAGCCAAGATCTGCCCCCTGGTTCCCTAAATTTCTAAAGGCCCAAAAAGTATTCTGAGGAAGTATCTCTGCAAGACTGCTTTGTATTTTTAATTTTTCCCTAAGCAATTTGTAAAAAAAGGCCACTGTCAAAGAAACCTAGAGTGGCAGGTGAATCCAGTAAAGCCATTCTTCCATTGCTTTCTGTGATCCTTTTTCCTTCCCCACCCCACAAATCATATGGATCTTCTGGCAGGTAGAGGAAATCTGTCAGCTTGATGAGGAAGAAAGTGATCTACAGACATTTCTCCCCTCTGCACTAGTCCCTGCATGGCATTTTTTACTGTACTTCTGTCAAGGAGCTCACTAAAATTCCACAGAAAATACAGTTAAACCTAGCTTTCTCATTGTCATTGTAACTTACATCAAGTTAGATTTCTCATGTGCAGAATACAGATAATTTAGAGATTTGCCCTGAAAACTGACAGGCATAGTTTTCCAGTTGGTATATTACTACAGGAAGTGTATTCTACACTATAATCTCTCCCAGAATAATACTGTGTTAATAACTGTAGTTATCATAAACAACTACAATTAGTGTGGACATGTTTCAAGCTTTTTAACTGCTCCTTTCAATATGAGAATTTTCAAGACAATTAATAAGTTACCTTCAGCACTAAACAATAGTCTGTGGGTGCTTTGTATTTGTTCCGATAGTCCTGTCCGTAGTAAACGCTGACATGATCTAGCTGCAGAAAGCACACGAGATCTCGTGAGACCTATTAAAAACAAAAATAATCACTGACAAAATACCTTTACAAGAAAGTCACATGTACTGACAAAATCAGTCTAGTGTTAAGATCTAATACTAATATAAGGTCTAGTTAATGTCAAATATCAGTTTCAATATGATTCAGAAACTCCCAATACAAGATGCAGCCATGCACAAACTCTTGCATCACAGGTTCATTTTTAACCAGGATATCCTTTTTTGTGTTTTGTCAGTATTTTGTGTTTTGACAACATTTTATACTGACTACGTTCAGAGCTGATATCAGGACAAAGTAAAGAGAATTGGCTGACGAAGAACTTTTTAACAGCTGCTGGTTACATTTTATCATGGTAATAATAAAGTTGTCCAAATTCCAGTGTTATTTTAAGAAAAATTCCAATGATTCTTAGCAATGAGTGCAGGGCACAGAATTTCAACAGGCTATCTTGCATATCCATTGTTTTAGCAAAGCAAAAGGCTGTGGGGAGAGCATTTGGCACATATCCAGCTCTAAAGGGAGCCAATGCACTGACAAGAGATTTTCTCTTCATGGCCAGCTGCGTGGGATGTGGTCTTGCTGTACTGGGGATCAGTTGATGCTGTCAAGACTGCTGTATTCATGGACAACTTGAACTCACATTAATTCACTCTTGAAGCAATAATGCATTTATAGCAGCCTTCTGTTTACTTTTCATTATTGATACACATAGAACAGCAATAAGGGACACCGAAGAAACTGCATTATCTTTACCAGTTTCAAATTGGTCCAAAAAGAAGCCCATTTATATGAACTAACTAAAACCAATGACATTATAGAGACTGATTGTGGAGTTGGTCTGACATTTCAGGACTGGCGTTTGCAGTGCAATTCAGTCCTTCATCCGAGTTCAGCTTAAGAAAAGACAACCACTAATCTCTTTTTATCAAGTGTTTCTGAACACCTAATCCTGAGCTCACTCAAAAAGCATATGCTTGTCTTCTTATATTTTTAAATTCGGGTTTACACTGTTCACATCAAGTGCTACCACAGTAATTTGCACAATATTTCCAAGATAAAGCTGCACTTTTAATTATGGGATTTGGCACTAGGCGGGGCACAGCTAAGCCAAAATTTAAGACTGACTCTTGTGCACATGATTTACCAGCAATAAACAAATCAGGGAAATTATTTTAAAATAGCATACCTTTGCCTTTCCTTTGGGGACATAGTAGATTCCAGAAGCTCGAAGAAGAAAGTAACGTTTCTTCCAGGACTTCTTACCATCCTCTTTCAGCCACAAAACTCCTTCAATCTCTGGCACTGTTACAGAACTTCCACAGAAACATTCCTGCCGGTAAACACAGTGGTTTGTGGAGACAGAAACAGAGATAACACGTAGTAGGCAGTGGTTTGTTGTTAATGACTGAAATTCTAAATTTTTTTTATCTAAGGAATGCGTAAGTAACAGGGACAGCTCTTTTTTTCATGGAGTGATAAGAACTAAAGGTTAACTGTAGAGGCTATAAGGTAATTCAAGCACAGTAGGGGATCTTTGCATTTTCTCAGCATAAGAATGACAAAAAAAAAATGAGAAGGTACTATAAAGATCTTCTCATCACTGCTTATCAGCAACAGATCCTCCAGCGGCTTTACCTTTCACAAGGTCACTACGGATATGGCTTCAGAAGTCTAAGTAAACACAAAACTTAATTCCATATCCATCAGATATACCTATAATTCATTCCATGTGTACTTTGTTGCTACTAACTGCCAACACTTCAAGTTCTGTTACATTTCTATTTATAAAGAGCTAACAGGAAAACAAATGCTTTAAATACACTCTAGATTAATACGCAGTACAGAGATTTATGAGTAATCCCACAAGACAGAAAGAATTAGATAGAATTACGATCCTCTGCATGTCATGGCTTCAAGCACCTTTTTGATCCCCAGTATTCACATGACCACTTACTAAAACGCATACTAAGAGCATGCATATGCTACTTAAAAATTAAATTGTATAAACTATAATCAAAAATTAAATACCTCAAATATTTACTTTTGTGTTACTGCTGAAAACATGATCAGTATTCTGGAAATCAAGTGGAAGCTACTTCAGCATGGGTGTATCTCCACAAAAATGTCACAAAATCAGATTTCAGCTTACAGAGGCTACACTGGCTCTTTGCTTTATTTGATGCACATAATTTTTTTGTTGTCCTTAATTCTGTAAACTATTCCATGTGTTTGATATTAATTGACTTCCTTTTGTGTAACTCATTTTCTGAATTTAATATTTGGTTGTTTATTTTAAAATGTAATTGAAATAATTTTTAACTACTTTGCTTACTAGCAAAATGTAAACTATGAATATAGACCAGTCACTGGTTTGCTACAGAATTTTGTAGAGAATAACAATTTAGAGAGTACTACCACCATAGGTCAAAAAAAATGGGAGACATTTCTAAAAATTTCGATTGTTTTTAGCCACAGTTACAGGCAACCTCATGTTGTTTATCACCAAGTACAGTACTTCAGTTATTAAATGAAATAAAGACACATTTTTATGAACTGCTCATATCTGGAATAGGGTAACAGTAAAATAGCCCTTTATCTCAAACGTTAACACATTCCATTCACAGTTTTTCCAGAAATACATTAAGCTCTGTCCATCAGTTTCAATCACCACAACCTTTTACAGTTTAGCTTCAGGCTTTGAAATGACTTCTATGTCCTGGTTGTTTTGGTGGTCTTACCTCTAACAGCACTTCTTTATTTCTGTCTGCCATCTCAGAGGTTTCTTTCTTTCCCAGAAGGTAGTTCTGTAACAAGAAAAAGCTTAGTACTTCTATAGGCAGTCTGAAATCAAGCCAAAGAAAATTTCTCATTTACCTTTCTGTAGTAGTAAAAAAACCCCACAGCTATTATCTACGAACAATGCATTAACTGAACAAAACTTTGTAATCCAATTCAAACTGTCAGACTGCTAAATAATACAGGGAACCAAGCTATAACCACCTTTTCCAGTCATTCCATGCTTATTTAATAAGAAATTTTGTACTCTTCCTCAGCTTGGAAAGGACTGGAAGGACAATGGAAGTCTTCATCTGCCTATCTCCTACTGCTTATACCAGAAAAAAAAACAATAAGCACAAAGTTTAGCCAGTTCAGTATTTTAAACCAAGGAGTAATAGCAGTTTTAAGCTAGTACCTCATTCTTGTTCACTAAGCCTATCATATGTACTGATAGTAAACATATCAACTACATGCTTTTAAAAAGAATTTAGAGTTTTGCTACTTCATCGCTAAGTACTTGGTTTTCAATTCTTGGTTAAAACAAAATTAACAAAACAGTCAAGTACACTGATGGGATCCCAAAGGCTGAATATGCATTTAAATCTACTAAATTATTAAACAGATGTCATGCAGATATGAAAATCTATGGCCCCAAAGGGAATACATTAGGTAAGAATTAAGAGAGAGAGATCAAGTGACATTATATCCACTTCTTTTCTACTTAAATTCTTCAATGAGCCACCTTCTAGGTACTGTATGGGAGAAGAGAGACCTTTGAGGCCACTTGAGGGAGAAGAGAGGCCTTTGGTTTCCTGGCGAGAGCGAGCAAGCACAGATGAAGACGTAGGTCCCAGCTTCCACAGGAAGGGAGACACACTCTCTTCTCTTCACTTGCCATTTGACCACGGCAACAGCTATTCTCTTAGATTTTCTCTTTCGCTTCTTGCCAGCAACATAAGAATGCACAGTGGAGAGGCATTACTATTAGCAGGATCTGTCAACAGATACTTATTTACATGTTTGAACAGCACCAAGTATTGGTGTAAATGCCATGAAACTCCTTACCTTCATCTCCATTAAAATTACCCACAAACACATGAGCAAACAGATTGCTTCAGCTCATCATTTTCTGTGAGGGGCTTGAATTTGTGCCAACCACAACGTGGATGTACACAGCGATGAAATGCAAAGTTCCCTGGCATTTTAATACGTACAGAAGTGTCAAAAGAAAAGTGTGGAAATGAATGCTACCAAAAAAAGTAAGAAACTGCAATATGGCTTGCATGTGCGCATATACACATGCATTCAACATTAATCTCAGGCTTACCTGGGGATTCTTGAAAAGCGCGTATTTCTCTATACGTTCCACGAACATTAGTTTGTTTTGACTATCTCTTGTCCAGTTCAGAAGATTTTCAACTAAATTTTCATGATCTTCAAAGATCCTTTCTGCAGCAATAACAAGAGAGTAAATATTTTCAAACATTTATTTTTAAAAATTATTTTCAAATAAAAATTTGAACCTGTCAAATTTTGGGATAGAAACTACTCTGTAGCCATATCTGGGAAACAAGGTATGTATATGTAGAGAAAATAAGAGTCCAAAATGGGGAAGAAGTTAATGCTAAGAAAATAAAGCAACTGAGTCAACTTTCAGACATGCCTGGTTTAATTTGACACATATAGTCACTCAACACGCTCACTTCCATCTCTTCAGCCTTATATATCCATCAATACATGAAGCATTTTCCTTTTTTTCACCTGGCAAAGCCTACCATCCCACACGAACACAGCAGACTCGAATGACACCATTTCAAATGTTACAAGTACAAATAAGGTTATCGCGTTATACGTACTCCAGTCCACACAAACCCTGAAAGAATTTACTAGGCAGTTTTTTCAGCACAAAATTTGTTTCTGCATCTCCAACCACCATCTCACTCGTAAAGTATCAAAAAAAGTATCTTTTTCCTCTATTCTTTCCAAGAAGCAGAGTGAATTGAAGAGTTTTATAACAGACTGTTGTGGTTTGGCCCTGGCCGGCAGCCAGGTACCCACACAGCCACTCTCCCCCAGCCACTCCTTCACCCCCCCTTCTCTGCTAGACGAGGGGAGAAAATATTTCAAAGGGCTCAAGGTTTGAGATAAGGACAGGGAGATCAGACTTGATTTTGGGGAAATTAATTAGGTTTATTAAAAGAACGTATCAGAGAAGTGAGAAGTAAGAAATGCAAACATCTTAAAAACAAAATACCCTCCTTCCACCCCTCCTTTCTTCCCAGGCTTAACATCA